TCAGGTCTCGCTAACTACAGCCACTTTTTCACGACAAAACTGTGCCCAGCATTAAATAAGTCCAAATTACAAAATGAGGATGAAACCAGGTCAGATCAAACTTATAAAGCAATTTTGTTTCTGCTCCCTTTTAATGCTTCATGAAGTTGAATAAAGGTTATTTCTAAATCCTGAAAATCCTTCAAGATCCTTGGAGTATATTTTTTCATGCCTTCTTGTGCATACTATATTGAATAATACGCTTTTTTTGATTACAGAAAAAGGAAATATTTCATCTCATAGAGGGAAATATTCTGAACTAAATTTTTGCAGAGCAATAGATATGCATGGTGGGTAGCTCATGAGAGCTACTTTTAATTTATCATATAGTAAGGTTGAGAGGACTCAAGGACTCACAGCAGGGACCAACAATAGCGTGAAAGTTTCCTGCAGTAACGTGGAAGATGTCACAGTTTAAAGACAAGTTTAAAGTGTTTTGGTTAAAGACAATTTTAAAGACAGATTTACTTTGGATTTTGATCCTTAAAGTTGCAAAATCCAAACAAGATATGTTTTCAGGTGACCTAGAGAGATCTGGAAGTGAAATCAGGTGATGTGTTGAGTCAACACATTTGCATTGGGTCTATACTTCGGAAGTTGGTCTTGACCCATCTATAGAATGTGCACTGGGTACATGCCGATGCATAATATAAATTAACATGAAGTATCAAAATGGTATTTAGATGAGGCGTAGTTCTAAAGGTGGGAATGTATTTATGGATTAATTTCATCATAAGGAAAGGAAGGCTATGTATAAATGCAGTAGCCACATTAAAGAGGGCTGTAGCACCTCAGAAAGCTCCTCAGTTTAAGCAATACACTAAGTAAGTGTGGCAACATGCCAAAGAAATAGGTCTGTATTACTGCCCCATTGCTCAGGTGAGGAACCTGAATGGTATGAAAAATATGGCTTGGTTAAAGCTGTGTGGGGATTCATAACAATTTCAAAGGCCTATGTAGGCACAAATCCTCTCAGCTACATACATTTCAGTGAGGGACACTGAAGGAAAGGTGGAATTCAGGGTCTTTGCAAAGTGTAAAATGGCAATAAGCAAGATCGCCAGAGGCAAAAGAGCTCAGCTATACCCTAAGTTTCGGGAGATAGTCTGTAAATTGAAGCAAGTCACTTGCATGCATGTTCATGTGTACATGCAAGAATTTATAAATGCCTAAGAATTTCTTGTGTCAAAAATGGAATATAATTGCCCTTAGAGAAGAGGGTTTTTTCATTTGACTTGGGGACAGAAAAATACATTCTCATGTTTAATACCCAAGAAAAAGTGAAACACTCTCACAAGCCTCACCAGCTCATGAAGCAGCATATGCAGGTCATGCCAAGATGCAGATTCTTCTCATTATATGCAGATGAAGATCAGAATACTGAGATCTGCAGTCTCCAAATGGCAAAGAAGTTGTCTTTTACTAGGTTTTTATATAAGCGCAATGAGTGAAAGCTGTCAAATCTTGACCGCTGGGGCTCTTCCTGTCATGAGGAGATTCATACCCATTACTTGAATGTGCACCTAGACACGACCTAGGTGTATATACGTTAGAATCACAGGCACATTGAAACTATAGGCAGAGGCATGGCACAGTGCTGAGATGAGCATTTCAGTCTGCACATCAAAGACTTTTAGAGGTACTGTTCTGGTATGGTTAAGATCTATCCTCTGAGAGGAGCTGGGCAGACAGTCTTATAACAAGGCTTAGGGAAAGGATGAGAAGACTGTGTTAAAATTTGGCACCTGAGAAAAGGAATTGTGAAAGAAAGACTGGAAAAAAACTAACTAGAAAACCACTAACAGAGCAGAGTGCAACATAGAATAAATGGTTGCCAAAAACTGGAGAGACTGAGCATTCATATGACTGTAATTCTGTGGCTCTTAATACCCAGAAAGTATAGGGAGTGTCCTGCTGAATCCTCTCCAATACCATTTTGGGAATCTGATAAGTGACTATTGTTTCTTTTTGCCTGGAACAGAGAAGCCTGAGTATAATTATACAGAGGGTGTGCACTTTGCCACAAACAGGCCTGGGGTGTTTCATGTTGTGACGGCATGTTTGCGATTCTGTAATCTTCATCCTATGTAATTTTAAGGATTGTTTTTAAAAGCTAAACACTAACTAGTACCTTGACTTCTCAAAGCATAAGAAGAAGGTGAAAGACAAATCACACCTGATGAATTTGGTGTCCTTCTGTGATGGGGCTATAGAACTGATGGACAGGGGCAGAGCAGCTGATGTCATCTACTTGGACTTGTGTGAAGTGTTCAACACTGTTCTGCACGGCATCCTTGTCTAAATTGAAGGGACATAAATTTGATGGATGGACCACTTGGTGGATAAGGAATTAGCTGGACAGCTGCATGCAGTGTTACGGTAAATGGCTCAATGTCCAGCAGGAGACCAGTAACGAGTGGTGTTCCTCAGGGACTGATCCTGTTCAACATTTGTGTCAGCAATCCCAGGAACAGCTACAGGTTGTGCAGAGAAGAGATTCAGAGCAGCCCTGCGGAGAAGGACTTGAGGGTGTTGGTTGATGAGAAAATGAACATGAGCTGGCTTTAGTGTATGCTTGCAGCCCAGAAAGCCAACCGTATCCTGGGCTGCATCAAAAGGAGCGTGACCAGCAGGTCGAAGGAGGTGATCCTGCCCTTCTACTCTGCTCTCGTGAGACCTCACTTTGAGTGTTGTGTACAGTTCTGGTGTCCTCAACATAAAAAGGACATGGAACTGTTGGAACAAGTCCAGAGGAGGGCCACGAGGATGATCAGGGGACTGGAGCACCTCCTGTATGAAGACAGGCTGAGAAAGTTGGGGCTGTTCATCCTGGAGAAGAGAAGGCTGCGTGGAGACCTCATAGCAGCCTTCCAGTATCTGAAGGGGGCCTATAAGGATGTTGGGGAGGGACCCTTCATTAGGGACTGTAGTGATAGGACAAGGGGTAATGGGTTAAAACTTCAACAGGGGAAGTTTAGATTGGATATAAGGAAGAAGTTCTTTACTGTGAGGGTGGTGAGGCACTGGAATGGGTTGCCCAGGGAAGTTGTGAATGCTCCATCCCTGTCGGTGTTCAAGGCCAGGTTGGACAGAGCCTTGGGTGGAATGGTTTAGTGTAAGGAGTTCCTGGCCATGGCAGGGGGGTTGGAACTTGGTGATCCTAAGGCCTTTCCAACCCAAACCATTCTATGATTCTATGATATTTAAGACATTTCCCAGAAAAGCTATATATACTGAAAGTCATGAATAAAGTTTCTCTTTTATCAGTGTTTTACCAGAGTTTGCTTCAACAGGGCCTAGGCCAATGCCCTTAGTTCTATCTTGTTTTCACAGACACCTAGTATACTCCTAGTTAAACATTTCCTGTTACCTAAATTGCTCACCACAGAATGTATAGAAGACAGCTCAATTAATTTTCTGCCTGGCTTAGCCCAGTCCATAAAGTCCATTAACGTTTATGGTCCAAGAAAGTTGAGTATCAAAGGTGTTCCTCCCCATGGCAGGGGGGTTGGAACTAGATGACCTTTAAGGTCCCTTCCAACCCAAACCATTCTGTGATTTCTTAATCCTGTGCTTCTGATTCTGTGATACATCCCATTTACTTTCTAGCTGTTGTGGGTTGGAAGGATAGGCATAGCCCTGGTTTTGGTAGCCCAATATGCCTGCTTCACCACTGGACCTATCTGACCAGGCATTCAGAGAAGTGTGAGCTGTTCCCAGCCTCATCTCAGGTCCTCTCTCCATTCTGGATGAAGTTTACTTTTCCTCATCTGGCACATCTGTTTCTTTGTGTGTGGATGAACCTGTTTAATATCCATTTTCTTAGGAGTTGGAGGACTTCAAATAGCTGAATGACAGCTGGGCAAGGAAGAGGTAATGGGCAGGAATGCCATGGGCTTTACTGTTGTGAGGCTTAAGGAAGGAACACAAACAATAACACATTACAGGATTAAGTTACCAAATTTAAATTATTATTTATAATTAACCTTTTCCAGTAAGATTCATTTGTTTACCAAAGGGCACTGATAAATCTGACTTTCAGTTGCAATCAGCTTTTTGATTAACTGATAGTATGAGAAGAAGAAATCTCTGCCAGGACTTCAGGCAGAAGGAGAATAAGGGAAGTAGGAGAATAAAGAAAAAGGGATCACAGGAGATTTTGGGAAACATAAATATTAATGGCAGGGTAGAAAGACAGAATTGAGAGAAAGCTGTGAATTCTGGATGTGGGGAAATAAACTAGGGGGTAATCCAGTGGGGGAGGAGACAGACTAGAGGAGAGCTTGGCGGAGGAGTGACTGCTGAGATGATAGGGTGGGAAGTGGGAAAGATAGACTGAGAGCTGGAGGAGGGAGGAGATTCTTGAGGAAGAAAACAGGAGTAAAAGTAAGCACATGTAGAAAAGAAGGCAGAAGGGAAGTCTGGCAACAAACTGGATGCTGCAGCTGCAAAAGCTACACAGGAAGAAATCAACAGGACTCCAAGAAGAACAAAGGTAGAACAACAGCATTTACATAAGAAGATAGGTCAGAAAATATCCAGATTAATGGAAATTTTAAGAGTATTTTTGCTTCCTCCCCTTCATTTTCTTTCTCTCAGTAATGTTAGAGAAGAAGAAACTTCATATAAAGCCAGGTGCAGGATGCCTCTTAAGTCAGTGGGACACAGCTTTACAGCTCCTGTTATACTGACTCACCTTGGGGTCATGTTAACCCTCTGGGACAGCTTTTATCTTAATTGTGAAAGACCTTAGCAGACAGACTGCTCACTGTTGCTATTTGCTGCGACTGTCTGGAAGGAGGTGCCTGAATCCACTGTCCAAACAGAACTTTTAATGTATTAATAGTTTTTATAAAGATTTTGAACAGCTCATCGTTATGATAAAAGGATCTCGTAAAGATCCAAAAGGACAGCCAGAGGAAGCAATAGTACTAGCACTTGCCTCAGATGTTCATTTTGACAACAAACTTCTGAACCAAAGCCTGTAGAAATCATTAGAAAGAGTCCCATGAATTTGAACAGCTGTATTCATAGCTGCCATCCCTCATTCTGACCTCTGTCTGTGCTTTGTATAAATATGTGTTAATAAGCCCAGATCTGAAGAGTTATCTCTAGTATGAAACTCCTTACCTGGCTTCCAGTATATGGTGAGGATTAACTTGGATTAGACTGTGTTTTCAGAGTTATTGCAAAAAGTAAAGTCAATTAGGCTTGCTCTGGATTGGTAGTAGGGATCTGTTACATTGCCTGTGTGGGACTATTGCTGGGCTATTGCAGAGGGTAAACAGACCAGAGGAAGAGGCTGGCACTGAAAGGATTTCTTAAAACTGGTCTTTCTTGAAAGCATAAGTACAAAAAGGTGTTATCTTTGGCTCAGAGGTCTTATAATTCCTTATAACTCGAGACAGCTTAGCTACCAAGGCATTTAAAAGGTCTGTGCAACTTTCTCTTTGTGGCTGGTGAAAGATCAACTGACTCATAGGAGTCTGGGCAGCCAGGGTTGCTAGAGGGTTGCTACAGCAACTTGATTTTTCTGTGAATAAGGAGACAACTTAGCAGGCTCTTCTGAAGCTTTCCAGTTCCTGGTGGCGAGAGTAGTGAGAGCAGCTCTCCCTCCCTACAGGTATGTGATCCTGCCTCTGGACTAAATGCAGCTTCTTAACAGGTAGATGGACATCATATTAATTTTGCGTGAGCATACTATTGCAATTTATTGCTAGCAAAATGCTCTTAACAGCCAGGGATTATTAAAGGCAAAGACAGATGCCATTCAGTCTCTATTTCTTGACTGTTTATAAAGTTCACTATTCACTAAAGTTTATAAAAAGCAAATATACTGATAATCAAATTATTTCACTTGCATATGAATATCTTGAGTATATTCAATATGTTACTAGTATTAAACTCTACATTGTAATTAAAAATTAATGTATTCATATCGTAAGGTGTAACAAGTGTAATTAATTTGTGAATTATTCTGTTATATATAAAAGTCTATTATATAAAGGATTATATACATTTATAAAAAATAATATGAAGAGAAATATAAAGCATATGGCTGATCAAAACATGCACATATTTTAGAAGTGTGTTATAAATTATCATCTGAAAATACTGTAGTAATTACTAGTTGTAGGAGAAGGTATATAAGTTCATTTCTGTGCAGATCTAAAGTTATAATTCATGTTCAGCAAAATGCTCATGTAACACACCTAAAATGAATATTGGTATGGAAGTCCTGGGATCAACTCAATAAATATAGCATAGTCATATAGATGCTAATGACTTGTGCTGTTTTAGAGACCTGATTCTCTCTGACAACTGGTACAATAACTATGTTATTAACCCAGTGATTTCCTTTTTTTTTTTTTTAACTTGAAAAACTGTTCTATTCATAAAAGAATGTGAACTCTGGAGTTGTCTAGTTCTGGGGATTTTTTTCTATCCTCAAGTGAGACTTTGAAAGCATTTATATAATTGGCAGAACCAGGAAAATGATCAGAATTGTAGGGTTTTCTCAGTTAAATTATTGTGTTTTGGAAATTCTTTTTGTGTAACTGATAGTTATATGAATATTTCTGTATCATGGTTTCATTTAATGAAAGAATAATACCATAACTTAACATCAGGAAATTGCGTGATCTGAGAAGTTCAGGGTATCTATTAGTTGCCTACTTCATTCACTGTTAGTGAACAGAAATCACCACTAGTACTTTTTCTACTGCTCTGTTCTTCATAGTTGTTAATGTTTCTTAATATGCAGTAATAGCACACAAATTTTCCTAATGTCTTTAGAACTTCAGCTGCTGCCAATGTAGTTCTTGCGTCAAGAGTGATTTTATTTTGCAGTTTTAGTTGGGTTTCTGTGTGTGTGTTGTCTGTTTCATATTTTCATTGCAATAATTTAATATAATCTCAAAAGAATATGAAAAAAAGGAAAAAAAATCCTTTTTTGTCATGCAAGAGTAGCACAGTATCTGAAGGGGGCCTATAAGGATGTTGGGGAGGGACCCTTCATTAGGGACTGTAGTGATAGGACAAGGGGTAATGGGTTAAAACTTAAACAGGGGAAGTTTAGATTGGATATAAGGAGGAAATTCTTTCCTGTGAGGGTGGTGAGGCACTGGAATGGGCTGCCCAGGGAAGCTGTGAATATTCCATCCCTGGCAGTGTTCAAGGCCAGGCTGGACAAAGCCTTGGGTGAGATGGTTTAGTGTGAGGTGTCCCTGCCCATAGCAGGGGGGTTGGAACTTGATAATCTTAAGGTCCTTTCCAACCCTAACGGTTCTATGATTCTATGATTAGCACTTAGAATAAATGATAGTATGACGGTATGAGAAAATTTGTATAATAAAGTTTCTGTATAATAAAGAAATTTAAATAAAGGTGTCTCAACAGATCCACAGGGAAAGACTATAAAAGTTGAAAAACTCCATGGCAGTCAGTGCATGTCTTCATGTTTTCTTGCAACTTCCTGAGAGTTGCTTCATTCCCTAGACCAGTAGGCAAGACCCACATGGTCTGTACCTCTGCTGCCAGCTGGAAGGGAAAATATGCTTTTATGGGTGTTTCCAGCATCATGGTGCCACTGCTGTTGTCTCTGAGATTCCCCCCGCAAGAGAGACAGCTTTATCAAGGTCTTTGGCCTGTATTTACTCTGCAGATGATTTTCTATGTCTCACTTTCTTTTGGTAGAAAATATATATACCTTACTAGCAGAGACATAGATCCCCTGATACCATCCCAACTACAGATTCTGATCCTCAAAGCGGGGCTAGGCAACTGTCCCAAGACATGAGGTTGGTTAAAGCTTTCTTCTTGCGGTGGCCTGATGAAAAGCAGTTTGTTTTTTTTCTGGCAGTAGGCTCATGGTTTGGCTTTAATACCTTTTGAGACTGACCTGAAATCCCAGGGAAGATCTGCATGTTGCTCTGACCAAGGACATGCCTCCAGGTCTGGGACATGTGAGCTGAAAGAAAACGATGTCAAGTTATTTGACTGGGCTTTAATTCTTGAGAAGTCATCAAAAAAGTAACCTGAAATTTACTTCTTCATTAATTAGAAAAATCCCCTGCACATATGTTGCTCTTAATTATCATGCAGACAAAATTACAGTGTAGCTGGTAGGCAAAGGCTAACATAAGGACTACTCAGTCACTCATGTAAGTCACTGCCATTGGGATGATTCATTATGGTGACTATTTCTCAACTAGGTGTTGCACTAGTGAAGGAGTTCTGAACTACTTCATTATTCTGAGACTTCCGAACCAACACGAAGAGTTTTGCAAGAAGTGAAGTATACCCAGGTAGGGACAAGACTTATCGAATTTCTCTTGACTTTCAAAAGATGTCTGCTTTTAAAATTGTTCTCCTCTACCACTAAGGCCTCCTCTCAGTGCCCTCCTTAGTTTTCAGTAAGAAACATCTCTATCAGTAACAGACTGAGCCAGCCCTTTAGGTAACAGATTTTTATAGCTCTTTGTTGCTTCAGACTTACCCAAAAGCCTAACTTATTATATTACAGCTTCTGTATTGGGTTCAGTTGACGAAGTTCCTTCCTATCTATGTTCTGACTCTCACGTGAGTGGAAGAATCAAGGTCCTTTCCACCCTTGCCTCTTTCGTGCTTTCTTCACCTGATTCCCCTACTAAAATAACTTGAAAATACACTTTAAAAGTGAATTTGAGGTCTGAGGAAGGAAGCAGCTTATGCATGCCACAGTCAGTGAAGAAAAGTCAGAATCAGTATTTCTAGGTAAAAGGAACTGAAGCAGCTACTGGGTCTTTCATCACCCCTTTTTCCCTTACAGAACCTAGTTACAGTTTGAGAGAGAAGCTCATCACTGGCAGGAGCCAAATATATCATGCTGTTTCCACTATAGTGCTGCCAAGTTGGCTTGGGCCAATAGTATTTTAGGAGGTTTTCCATATCATCAGGACACACTAAGGATCACAAGGGACAGCACCTTAGGTCCTAACAGTTTACAGAGCTGGGAAAACTACAGCTTGGAGTCTTTAGTGGATATTGAAGGAGTACATAGCAATTTGGAATGAGTCTTTCAAGCTCTTTGGATGACAAATCAGATATTAATACATGTTTTGGAGGATGTTTTGGGGGGGGGGGGGCTGAAGACTGCTTGATATGAATGTTTGGAATACGCCTCAGGGCATACACTGGAAAGTCTTGAAAGCCAACACATCTGCAGTAAAAGTCTGTGATGACAGGTGGGCAAAAGAATGCTACACCGGGTCTGCAGTTTTTGGCTATACTTTCCATTAATGTCAGGTGTTTGAAGTTTTCCTATTGCATTTTCTTCTTGCTTCACAATTTGTTTGCATTTAAGAGAACTTTGCATAGCTGTCCTGGTATTGATGGTACAGTGCACCAATGAGGAGAGGAACTGGAACACCTTTTTAGGAAGTTCATGTAGAATTGTTCTAACATTAACCTTCTGAAAGTTAGATGTCTAATCTAAGCGATTGTTTAGATGGTCTGCAGTTAAAGAAGAGTCATCAGGACCTCCAAAGAATATGGTACATCCATATTGCCTAAGATAAGTGTTTAAGGTAGATGGTATGAGTACATGGATGTGCTCATACTTATCCACTGAGAGGAAACCAATTCAGCTTCCTTAGTCCAGATGCTTAATTTTACCTGGATAAGTTATTTTTAACAAATATTTGTAATTAACTTTAAACAAAAAAAAAGAATTATTGCTACAAAACTGAGGCTCCCTTTTCTGACAGGACGTTGGAGATAAGATATTAAAAGCAAAACTGAAACAACTGAAATATCTTTATACCTCCTTCATAAAGGTGAGGTGAGTATTCCTGCCATTTAACTCTGTTCTATTCTATTGGAAAATGAGGTGGTTCAAAACAGCAGTTACAGAAAGATTACCTGAGACAAAGACAGTGAATGTATAATTTAAGAAATGTCAGTTCTATGTTATTATTTTTATAATTTATGGTTTATATCTTTAAGTTCTTTATAGGCAGCACTTGAAGATAGTCTGTGATCACTCTTGGGTATGCTCTAGTGCAATAGAAATAAAGCACTTGTTGGTCTGGGGTGAATAGCTTATGTGCTGCTTCCTCTGCATTGTGTGATGTGATGCACAGAAGATTTTAATTTCTATAGGAAATCAAACTACCTTTCTTACACACAGTATTTCACTCCTTATAAAAGAAGACCTCCTAGTATCTCCACTACATGTGGAGGGGCAGAAGTCTCATCCAGCTGCTGGCATATTGCATATTTTCTTCTGTAGATTATTCATCTTTGTCATTCTTCTCCTGAATTAAATGCCCATGAGTGAATATGAGTGTGTTGAGTCAGAAAAAGCTTATCTGAGGACAGGAGCCACATGTTCTGGGTTTTTGTGGAGTTCCTGCATGCTTTAAATCTTGCACTGCTCAATCAGATACTGCCCCTTTTGTGCAACCTAATAACTGGAGGAACCAGATGACCACTGAGTGGTGGCAACAGGATTTTGGATAGGGAGTGTAGAAGCCATATCAGATTATGCTAATAACCCAGATAAATCCTTTATATCAAAATAGGGAGAGTACCCAAAAGATTATAGAAAATCATGTTTTGAGTGATGAGAACATTAACCTCAACTTCTGTCCAAGAGCTTGGCATTTACTTAACAACCAGAAGGTTATTTTTGTTTTGGTTTGGTTTATTTTAAGGTTAGTGTCGTCTGACAAATTCAGAGTGTACAAAGGTACATACAGGAGTTTCTTGGAGTTTTCCAATTTGCTTGTTAACCTCAGCTAACATCTGCTAACATCTCCACATCAGACAAGAGATTAATGTCAAGATTAATTCTTACACGTTTCATAATAGGCAGGTAAAGAAGAACTCTCTGAGTGCCATGACTATAGAAACATGGGAATTAAAATCATGCTACCGAAGCTTAACTTTCAAACATGGCAATATAAAAAACAGAATAGTAAACTATCAGTGAAAACATGCAGTAAATGCTAAACATAAAATATTCAGTGTTGTACCCTGAAAGTCTGGACATAAAACTTTTCTTTGGGAATATTTTTTCTCTTATGATGAAATAAGCCAAATATCAATCATGTCCTCTTGCTGCTGCCAGAAGAATCTTTTAAAAAAATCTATTCATTTAATTCACAGGAGATGGGGAATTATTTAAAAGTTATTTGTGAGAAAGCTTGCCAAACTGGTTATTGTTAATTATTAGTAGACCCTGTGCTTGGGAGACACTTTGGTCTACAGAAGTATCAGTGAAAATAATAACATTTTTAGATACATTAAGAAAACAAAGCTTCTGGGATCTTCATTGAACTTGCAGTAAAAGAGGAAGAGCTTTAGCACTTGCTGAGGAAATGTAATCCAACCTGTGAAAAAAAAAAATCCCTTCAAAAATATTCTAACATTTCCTGATTTTTGTTGCTTGAAATTATACTCTAACAATGATTGAGCTGCAGAGATGTTTAGCCTTTATTCTGACAGAGAATGACTGAAGTAGTAAAGCTTTATTAACACAGCAGAGCATGCTATATAGCAAAAAATATTTGCAAATATTCTGTATCTTAAAGAAGCTGCCAGGAACTGGTTAGTCATAACTTGCTAATATGAGCAATTTTAAACCAAATGGCTATCAGAGAAGTGACTGGGAACCAAATAAGTAAGTTACCCTTTTGTCTCCTTGACCTTTGACTCACTTGGATCAAAATTTGACAAAGATTGCAGCTGCTAAGTATATTACCACGAGATGTAGGTAGTGGCTTTTAGTCAGACTGCAAAAATAACCCCCCCCTCCCCAACACCAATACAACTTAACTTCTTCTGGCAGAAAGATAAAGAGGGAAATGACATCTCTTGGAATATATAAACACTCCCTCGGAGTATAGAGGCTATGTGCTTGGTGTGGAGATTTAGCTGCTTGTCTACTCGTAACTTGATGCAAGTCATGTGTTAAGTGCTTGTATGCTCAGCTGAAAAGTCAGTTGCCTTTTTTCAAGGTGAGTCATATAATACATTGTTTAAAATCAGAGGGTTTTCCTCAGAAATACTTTTAAAATAATTTTGGGGAAAAATCTTGAAAATATTTATTTGCAATTAACAAAAAAAAAGTGGAGGATTTTGTAAAGCTGTTTCCAAGGAACAGTGAAGTTTTACATTTCCTAATAAAATGCTTCATTATTGTTAGCAGTGGTATTTTATGTTCAGTACTGCTGGCTTTCCCAATTTATTCTGTCTTTTGCTATTTAATATTCTTGAACCTACAGTTCTGAAGTCATGTGAGTTTATAAGAAATGCATCCTCTTAAAGTTGTATTTGTAGCATTTACTATTGCAGATGAAAAGGTCAAAACTATAATTTCAACACAGGTCAAATTAGTTTTGGGTTTGGTGATTTTCATGCTTTTAAAAGCAGAAAAATTGTCTTTCCTGCAAGTTTATCTGTCAGTAATTTCAGGATTTTTAATCTCACCATTTGACCTTGGAGAAACTGGAATTATGTTTAAATAAACACCATGGGTTTGGGTTGAAACTCTTAATAAGTATTTTCAAACTCCATTTTAATTTTTGCTAAACACACTCTTGTTCTCCATACAGTTTGTCTCTTTTGGGGTAATAAGTCTGATTCTCTGCAAGATTGAAGGAATGCCACGTCAAGCAACATTTTAAAATTACTGTTAAAGATGGAGAAATCATTAAGAAAATAAAGATGATGCTGTTTTATTTTTATTAAGTCTTGATTTAAACTTACATTACAGAAGTATAAGTTATGTAGGGAATAAAATGTTTAATACATTTTGCATTTTTTCTCCTATTCAGTTTATAAATTTTCTTTTCAGAGATTTGCATGGACCATTCCCATTGTCAATATTCTCTTAAGTACATTTAAAACAATATTAAAAGTACATACCAAACACTTTAGAATAGGGTGAACATTCATATTAATCTTGTAGTCAAATCTAATTTTAAATGATACCGTAGTCTCATAGATAATATCTAATTTTAGTATGGAACTTTCTGTTCTGCTCAAGGTAAATAATGTCCACTTGTATTCCCAGACACAACTGCATTCTTATTGGAAATTTCTACTTTCATCTTCATATTCTACATTGAGTTGTAATAAATGAGAATAGCTTGACTTCCATGTGAAATTGAGTGTTATGTTGTGAGTCCTCTTCACTGCAGTTGTGTAATTGATAACTTGAATTGCATAAATTGAGATATGTCTAGACTGCTATTTCATTGTGTTTTATGGGAGAAGGGTGAATATATTACAGTTTACAAAAGCTTGGAATAGACACAAGTTATTAGCAGCCAGTTGTTTTCTAGCTGCTTATTGCTAGTGCTCATGAGAGATACCTAGTCTGACTAAGACAAAATTAATCCATTGGAACAGGTTGTAGAAACCTAGATGGAAATGTATTTTGACGAAGGTGTACTTCTGTTGAATTTGAAAAGCTTCAGTTTTTAAGCCAAAAAAGTATGTATATATATATATATATATATATATATATATATATATTTGAAAGACCTCTTTAAACATTACGGAAGTGATAATTTTAATTATAAATTTTCAAATGTGTATTTCCACATTTAAAAAAAAAATTCTGTTAGAATAGATAACATTGGGGAAAAAGATCAATTTGAAATACTTAATTTTCAGAATTTGATTATATTGAGAACTTCTGCTTCTCCTTATATTTCTTACAATGTGTAACAGCAATCAGATTTTTAAATCCCCACATCACCTAACCAATGAGAACTCAAAGTTTTTTCAGGTCTAATATATTTCTAACTTGAGTTTGCTTTGAAGTTTGCCATTAGCTGCATTACACATTCATCCACTACATCAAAGAATCTTTAATAAATTGATGTTCTATTGCTGTTTTGCATAAAGACACATGGCAACAGCTGGTAGAGAGATAAGCAACTAAGTGAACCTGCAGTTACATTAAGGTGTACCTCCACGTGGATGGGCTGGTTGACTTTTATAGGAGGGGTATTTTTCAGAGCTTGCAAGTAATATTTTGACCACGCTGCTTGCAAGTATCTAAGCAGAAATTATTAAAATACCAAGTGAGCTTAAA